GAAGGGTTGGGTTGACCAGTTACATAATTGAACAGAGCCATTCTCGTAATGTGCAGATGATGTCCAGGCCTGGACAGGGAAATAAAATTCCCAAGTGGGATAGCAATGGTGGGCATGCAGATTTCCATGATACAGGAAAAATAGAAATTAGGACTTGAACTAAAACCGCAAAAACCATGTGGAAAATACATATGTTGAATATTTTATAGTTAAAAGTCAATTAACTTACCTTTGCTTATAGAGATAAAATCCAAATCCTGCAAATATAAGTGCAAAAAAAGGCACAAGAATAGCAATGGCCACAGAGCTACTGTTTGTACCATGAGGTTGATTCGAAGAGTTCGAACCTTCTGACATATTCAGTCCTACAAAATTAAAAATAAATTATAAATGCAAAATCAACCCTTATATCATAACTGACAGCTGTTTACCAGTCAGTTAATTTCTACCATTTTCAGGGCTATCCATTTGCAAATACGGAGACAAAAATATTTTATGAAACACTAACCTATTTTCACAATTTCTTGCACAATGTATGATATCCATCCAGGTAAGAATACAGACTAAAAAATAAGTATCATTCCTGCATGGAGGTGCTTATGCCACAAAGGGGACACAGAGAAACAACTGTCCGCCTCACTTGTGAATTAGTGGTCAGTGTGCTTTAGAAATGGAAGGAGTGATTCCATACAGCATATGAAAGGATGTTCAGAGCCGGCCCAATAGCTCAGCGGATTAAAGCACCTGCAAGCAGGTGCAGGGGCTGGGGGTTCCATCCTTGGGCCTGCTGTGCTGGCCCTGCCCCTGTGGCCCACTGAGACAGCAATTGAGACTGGGCATGGTGGTGCGTGCCTGTAATCCCAGCTCTTGGGAGACTGTAAACAGGTGGATCACTATGAGCCGGATCTAGTAGTGAGACCCTGAAGACCCTGTAGACCCTTCCCTAAAATACAAAAAGAAGAAGAAGAAGAAGAAGAAGAAGAAGAAGAAGAAGAAGAAGAAGAAGAAGAAGAAGAAGAAGAAGAAGAAGAAGAGGAGGAAGAAGAAGAGAGGATGCTCAGCTCAGGATACATAATATAGATTCAACCTTGCATACTTAGTAGAACAACAAATACAGAAGAAAGCAGCCACACCATAAGCTCAGCAATGACAATGAGCAATACATTTAGGAGATGTGGCCGGGTGTGGTGGTGCACACCTCTAATCTCGAAACTTGGGAGGTTGAGTCAGGAAGATCACTGCAAGTTTGAGGCCAGTCAGGGCTATGCAGTGAGCTCAAGGCTAGCCTGAACTGCATAGTGAAAAGTGAAACCCTGTTTCAAAAAGACCAAAAAAAAAAAAAAAATCAGAAAACCAAGAGTAAGTGATGGTTAAACTCCAAAAGGAACAAATGTCTTGAGGAGCTCAAACAGAATGAGTAACCACTGGAGGTTTGGGAAATAAAATACCCAGCAATAAGTCAAGCCTTAGCAGAATTGCAATGGCAGCATGGCTTTGAAGAAGGCCAGGCCAGAAGCTGCCAAAATGCTTTAGGAAACAAAGAAACTAAGAATGGACCCGGAACATTAGAAAGAGCATGCGAAGTTTGATTTGATGAATATTTCATAGATGCAAGGACTTTGTTTGCACGGATGAATTAAGAGGGCCTACTGGACTGCTGGTTCAGTCAACTGGGTTAGGAAGGGAGAAAAACATAGTTTGTCCCCTGTTGGCACAGGAGCATCAGAGCAGGAAATGCCTCATGGCTCTTTCTCAAAAAGAAAGGAGTCCTGCTTTATAATTCCATCTTACACAAGCAGTGCCTGAGACACTTTGGGAAATATAAGCAACCTTGCACTCACATGGCTTACTTCTGTTAGTAGATCATAGTAATGAATGCTGGCCATAGTTTTAAAAACAAACACATTTTTAGATAAAGCCTTATTGACATATTAATATTCATTTAGAGCAAACCAATTTTCCATTTTGATTAATTGTAGTTAAATGTTATAATTAACTAAAAGATAATTTTTTACATGTCAAAAAATAGTACCTTCTTTATACTTTATTTTTCCAGTAACTCAGTGTATTTATATAAATGTTCAAAGGATCTATAAACTGCGGTACAGGGCTTCAGGGTAAATCCTGAGGGGATTTGACTGACCTTGGCAGATACAAAAGTTACATTTCTTGTGATATAGGTCTTGCTTTATCTTGGTCTTAACTATCCAGCAGAAAGATATAAAAATGAGGTATAAAAAGTAAAGCCATATTAACATGCTGAGATGTAAAAGGCTCAAGCGAACAACTTCTGACATTGCCAGTCCTACGGATAACCCACTACTGTTATGGACTACTGGACTATATTGGATTATTTTGCTGAATTCACGCACCTACAATATTTAAAGGGCATTGGGGGCTGGTGAGATGGCTCAGTGGTCTAAAGCACCTACTTAGAACAAGCTTAGCAAAGCACAGGGACCGCGGTTCAATCCCCCAGCTCCACATGCCAGCCAGCCCCGCCCCCTGGTGGGCTGAGCTGGCCACACACACACACACACAAATAAATAAATAAAATTTAAAAAATAAAAAAGGGCATTGGAATACCCATCTCTGACAAAAATAAACAAAAAAGGGGATATAAATGAAGAACCATTTTGTGTCTGTATTTACAACAGGATATATATACAGCTACTTTCTCTTAATGCAATGAGAAGAAAGATTTGTACTAATAGTGTTTGAACATGATACCATGTCTGCATCTCGTAATACAAATAACTACTACAAAGACAACAATATGCAATGTATTAATTATTGTAACTGTCCTACTACCCTGTTTTGAAACCATTTTATTGCTATTTGTTTCTCAATGAAATTAATAATATAATATATATATTGAAAAAATGTTCAAAGCAATGATTTTTTTAAAGATTAATGTGAAAATCATTTAGAACCTGCATTTTTTTTCTTTATTTATCAGTTTTGCTATGTGAAATAATGGTAGATATTTTACCTTAGGAAAATAATGACTAGGTGCTTAGAGATATACCCTAAGAAGTTGCAGCCCTAAGATATACCATAAAAAGGTCATTAGTAATTATGCACTGTTAGAAGAGTTGGAGATGAAATGAAAAAAAATTCTGAATTTTTCACCACAGAAAATTTACATATTTAGAGAGCCTCAAGTCCTCAGAAGGGACCCTTTCCCCTCAGTTATTTTTCCTTTCCATACCTAAGGAGCTTCTCATGTCAGCAATTTTTTAGAAGAATGAGAAAAATGTAATAATATTTAAACTGAAAAGAAGTAGCATAGATTTTTTGAGATACATTTCAATAATTTGCACTTCATTATTTTCTTTTGTATCCATTTCACCTTTGCCTCTTATTACTAATACAAGGGCAAGGCTGTCATATTTTTAGAAACATGATGAGAATCTGGTAATATCAATAACTGGTTGGAAGACAACACTATGTATTATAACAAATACTGTAAAATCGTATTTGTTAAGGGAAAATCTGTATCACTTGTCATTTTTTCTGTTTTAATTCTAATTTGTACTCTCCTTAAAAAAAATAAGAAAATAAACAAAACATATAGAGTCAACATAAAAATATTAAAACCTAGAAATATGTTGAGAGAGTAAATTGTACACTGTTGTTAAATACAGCACTTATAATTGGAGGAATGTGACTATTTTTTAAAAATTACAAGTATTAAATGTATCAGCATAAGACATGTCAGTGCAGAACTCAAAATGTAGTAAATGTGACTAACGCACAAAACTCATTGTGCTCTCACATGATATCTGGAGTAACAAAAGAACTATAAGAAATCAAAAAAGAATACATTACCCAGCCTTTGTAGTCCGAATTGACCATAATCTTTGCCTTGAATAAATCCTTGAAATACGTAAGTAGCTCCATCAGGCTCAGCAGACACCTAAAGTATTTAAAAATCTGATTAAATGTGAAAACTGGCTACAGCTGTTTCTTCCTAGCCTTAGGAGTTACACAATTTTACTGTGAAATGACTATTACCCAGTGCTGCTTTCATCTGTATCATTCTCCTATACAAAGCAGCACATTGTTGACATTTTCCATCATGTAAGCAAAAGCAAATTTCCTGATTTTAAAGAATGGTGGTATTGGAGAACAAGGTATCAGTTATGAATGTATTGCTACATACATACAGGTCTCTTATAGTTAAAGCAAAATATTGATCCAAAAATGTCAATGACATGATGAAACTGTGGCTGATGGGCAACTTAAAATTAAAATATAATAATGATTTCCTTGTGGATTAGATTATGCTTTTCAATGTCTGCAATCTTTATGCCTACTGGCCTCCAGCTTTCATGTGAAAGGTAGACTGAATTTTCTGTTTTGTGCTCTGACTTCGGTTGTCCACTTATGAATAGGCCACCTGACAATAGGCAATAAGGCACATTTTTACTTTTACTCAGTGGGAAAATCTTGGCATAAAGGACCACATATTGCATGACTCTAAATATGAGTGTCCAGATCAGGCCCATTTATTCAAGAGGAGAATAGGTTAGCAGTTGCTTAGTTCTGGAATGAAGATAAGTTGGAGGTAGGGAGATGTCTGAATCCTGTGGTGTACGTTCTCTCCTTTTCTACCACTCTCCATTCTTCCTTTCTCTCTTTCACTCTGAGAATTGAACCCAGGGTCTCCAACATGCTCTGAAACTGAAGTTCACCCTTGTCCTGCAATTTCCTTGTGAGATGATGAAATTATTCTAAAATCAGACCAGCATGTGTAAACATTGTATTGTCTCCCTAGTGTAAGAAACTGAAAGAGAAAAAAAAAAAAAAACAAAACCTGAAAGGTAAATAAGTAATGTGAAAGGGAAAGAAAGTGCTCAAAAGGAAGCAACAACTGAGTTGAGAGAAGGGAGAAAAGAAAGTTCATAATTAGCTGAAGCTACAAAAATATTCCTTCCTGAAGAAGAAGAAAAAAAAAACCATAAACTTTCTGTTAAAATCAGCAGCAGACCGTAGGACCCTTTCACTTACAAAGCCGTCCATTGCCCAGTTCTCCTCCTTCATTTTCTTCCCAGAAGCGTGAGCTGGCACTTTAACATGATATATGTGTAGCATTAAGCGAGCTTCCTGGCTTTTATAAACCCCTGTAAAATGCAAGGACATTTTAGTCCACGTAACTTTGTAAACAGTTATGCTTCGTTTATTATCTGTAATCTGTTACATATATCATGTAAATACGAACAGAAATAAAACAAGGCCTGTGTCAAAGATGGCTTCATAAAAATATGCTTCCTAAGTTCTACAGTGCGCGTTGATTTCTCCTGGAGCTAATATCTCAACTTAATTCTCACCTGCGGTGCTTTAACCACAAATGCTATGAAATGAAATACTACTCTTTGTAGCAGCTTTACTCTGTGACACCGCAAAGAACGATTTCTTCCCCCAGATTTGAAAATTATGGATACAAGCGAGAAGTTGAAACTCCTCATGTGTTCCCTGAGAATGAATGAAGACTTAACTGTGTGTGAGAGTTTTCTAGCGGCTGTCCCCCTCCCCCGCCCTGTTCACTTCTCCTCTTTCTGCGATGGGGATGAAGCTTCCAGTCCTGTGCATATGAGGTAAGAGCTCTAGCACTGAGCTGCAGCTTCAGCCTGGGTCTCTATTTCTTGGATACAAGTCCACTGTTAACTAAAATACGTGAGAGACTGTTGTGGGCAGAAGACAGAGGGACTGTGTCACACTAAAGCCACCGAAAATACTGAGTAAGAAACAGGACCTTTGAGCTAGATCGTGAGAATTAATGGAGGAAATAACACAAGTGATAGAAATGAAAATATATGCTATGTTTTTTTAAAGCAGTGAACATACTAAGAGTAAGGATAAATCTAGCAGGAACAGGTTGAGTGGAATAGTGTCAAATAAGAGTCAGAGTGAAAATTTTACAGCTGTCACTCAGAATATGATTTCATGCTTCATTGATTTGCCTCATTATTAACCTGTTAATAAGACAGCATAAGAATATGTTGAGAAGATGAAGAAAAATGACACACTGATATTGACCCAAAGTAAATTACCATCATAACGAGAGTACATAAAGGTATTCCAAAACAGTATCATTGGGAAATTGATGGATACAGGGAGAGTAAGCGAGTGTATTTCAATTTATTTCATTTAATTGTGTGCATTTTTAAAATGTTCTATATGTACAACTGTAATACTTTTACTTCATTAAGCATAATGCAACTTTGTTCAGTAATACAGAATGAGACTCAGACTTCTACAGTCTATAATAGTAATAGTTATAATTTCATTTTTCACTTCTTTATAGCACAGATTATTCCATTATTACTGAATATAGGACAAACACAGACCTAGAAAAATATGATAAATGTTTTAAAAAATTTAGTACAGTAAAATGTACTGAAAAATGTGTTCTACTTTTGACCACATTTATTCCGTTGCTCTTGACGCTTTCTGGAGCAGTTCTGGAAGTCATCTTTCATGAGTGTCTTCAGTGGCACCTCTGTGGCTGCCTCCATGTCCTGAATTGACTCCAACATGTACCTTTCATGATCACTGTGACTTTAGAGGACAGCCAGAAGTCGCACGTGCCAGATGCACTGCATAAGCTGGATAAGGCTGTTACGGTGACACAGCTTAATATTTTATGTGCGTGCCTTTTCTTTGGATAGCATCCAGCCACAGCATCCACCATATTTGTAATTGCACTTTTTAAAGATATTCATAAAAGAGGACTTCCAGAACTGCTTTAGACAGTGGCAAAAACAGTGGGATGGGGTGTGCAAAATAAGGGTGAGTACTGTGAAAAGGAATATTAGCAAAATGCTTTCCACTACATCTTTAAAATTTGAACAGTCACCCTATATTTTGATCATTCCTTATAGTTCATATTTGCAATATTAAATTTCATAGGGTCCCATTCTGAGCGCCCTTGTTATTAGTACACTGTGCAATGCATAGCAACCACACTTGCCTTTGGAAACTGGTACACGTGTGTGGCCCTTCTTGGTCCTCTTCAACCCACCTTGCTCTCATGTTCTGCCTTCCCTCTCTCCCCAAATCCCTTCTCCATCTCTACAGAGTTTACCTCCCTATTTCTGACTTTTATTTTGCTCTTTAATGGATTGCTTATTTTGGGCCTCTCATGTTAGATAAAACAAACTCAATCTGACTTCTGTGGCATAAAATTGTTCTTCAAGGAATTGAGCTTCCTAACTTCAAAGTTTTTTACTTGTGTGGTAAGGATCATTCATAAGTCCCAAACCCCCAAAAATCTTGTTTGGAATAAATTATGACAGTCATTAAGCACAAACACAACAAGCATTTCACAGCATGAAAATAATGCAATCATGAATAAAATGGAAACATGAGTTCCAGTTTTTAATGTGTTACCTGAAAGAAGTAGTTCCATATTGCTGTTACTCAGTGTTGCATTAACTCTCCCTGTAGAAGCATTGAAACTAGTGACTGTCAGTGTCATGGGTTGTTTCCTTCCCTTGAAATTGTAAGAGCCTTTCCATATGTAATTCTGGGCAAACACATCATCAGGAACTGGAAAGAGATTAAGAGATCCACACATTTTAATTTTACAGCATCCTATCAATATAAGTAGATTGATGAATGTTAGTTTCTTGAACAAGGATATTTTTCTTTTTCTTTTCTTTTTCCTTTCTTTTTTTTGTATTTAGAACAAGGTCTACAGGTTTACAGGGTCTCACTGCATAGATCGGACTCATAGTGATCCTCCTGTTTATAGCCTCTCAAGAGCTGGGATTACAGGCACTCGCCACCATGCCCGTTCTCAGTCACCAAATCAACATGTCCATGGGGCAGGGAGGGCATGGCAGGCCCGGGGATCAAACTTCTGGCCCCTGAGTCTGCCTAAGCGGGCACTTTAACCCGCTGAGCTATTTGGCTGGCCCTGAACAAAAATATTTTTCTAAATACACAATAATGCTAAAATGTATAGGCAACTAAATTCTTCATGTGAAAGATTTTTAGAACAAGTTCCAATTATGAGCAATAATCTAGACTTGTTCTTTTGTCAGCAATGAAAGGTATGAAACTTGAATTCAGAACTCAAGCAAATATAAACTTCATCTATACTTGGTCCCCCACACTATTATTTTTGTTTCTAAAGGAAAACTAAAATGAGTTTATTGAGCCAAATGAGTCTCTACAGGAGTCCCAGGAGGCCTGCTCTTTTAGCACAGGGATAGAGTCACAGATGAGGAGCATTGAATTAAATCCTTCCTTTTGCAGCACAGGCCTGGAAGACTGCTGGGACAACACAATTCTTTGTCCTCCTGTAGCATTCTGGGTTCAGTTATTCCAGTAATAGCCCTCCTGAAGATGCACAGGGCTGCACCAGATTGGCAGCTTTGAGGCTTAAAGGTATTTTTAGAACTAAAAGGATTGTCACTAGAATTGCCCAGTTCCCAAGGGAGGGATATGTACTGTAGCAGAACAGAGCAGGAAGGTTAGCACTGGAGTTACGCTGCTTATATTTAGCTCGCTCCTTTACATTTTATAAATATATCCCTTTGCATAAATTACTTAACTTTCTAAACCTGAATTTCCACATAATTAGCATGGGATTATCACAGAGTTTTTAGAAAGATTCAATGAAGTGAACAACGTGAAGTATTTTGTTAATTTGGGGCTGTTACCATGACCATTATTATTTTGCAGATAAAGTAGGGAAATTGGGGCTCTTTTAGCTCACAAAATAACAGCTCAGTAAAATATATATTTAGAAGCGCTGTGGTTATTATCACAAACATCTTTTATCTCTGGTTCTGTAATCTTTGCCATGTCCTCCACTAGTATCACAGTTTTACAAAATCCTATATTACACAGTTACATGCTCTGTATTCAGGGAGGAGCCTCACATTAAAAGTTTGACATTGTGAATGAACAAAAGCCCTTGACTGGGTAAACAGTTTATACAGATTTTGGCTAGCAAAGTATGACCAAGGAAAGGAGGACATGTCCCAGCTCAACCCCCTTAGAGCTGAAAGCCCAGGACATGGTTGGGAAGACCATGCTGGTCAAGGATCCTATGATCAAACATGTCTGAACTTCAGCCTTGCTTCATAAGCTTCACAGTATTGCCAAATGCAAAGTCATGCTCCTGGGTAGGATCCCATTGCCAACCTTGAATCTCGTCTCTTCCATCTAATCATTAAGTCTCTTTCAAGATTTTAAAGAAATGCTGCATAGTGTTTTCTCTTTGTAAAGATGACATTGTTCTAGTTTTATTACTTAGGTGAAATAAATCCTCTCTGATACACTAAGAAACTCAAAGATGTTAAATTTATGTTCATATTTATCATGTATTACTTTTAAGTGTTACTGAACATGAAAGTATCCTTTCACATAAAAAATTAATCCAGTTTCATTCAGATGTGTTGCCTTTACTACAGCATTGTAGTTATTTGCCAAGGTTTTATATAGGATTTTTTCCAAGTGGGCATAAAACACCCAGCTTTCACAGTGTATTTCTCTGAGTTACTAATTCTGTAGGGTCCATTCAGTAATTTGTATTGTCTGAAGAGTTTCTATGAAACGTGGATGATCTGTTCTCTTACACTAAAATTAGACAGAGCTCATTAGTCATGTAAGAGCCTGGTTTTGCTTCCTTGAAATAATTTTAGCAATTTCATTTTTACAGAGTTATTAAAGCTTATTTTATTATCACTCCTAAGATGT